GAAGCACAGGCAGCATGTGCCCAGGACAGGCAGGGACAGACGCTGCGGGGGGCACGGGCTGTGCACCCCATCCCTGGCAGGCAGACCCACACCTGCACTCACCCTGTGCTAACCTCAGTCTCACTTCTCCCATAGGAGAACCAGACTGTGCATCAGCACGAGCGCCAGGCCGGTGCCACTTCCCCATCCAGACAACCGCTCCAACGTGCCTCCTCTTCCTCCATGAGCCTGAGCTCTCCAAAGACCAGGAGACAGAAGCAGGGAGCAAGGCAGATTCAGGACACAACACTTCACACACTGGAGCAGTGAGTTATCGGGGGGGGAATAAAACTCCCTCATGGCAAGCAGCATGATTGCTCTGGAGAGCAAGAGGGGTTGAAACAGGAACAAGTGACTTTAAGCTCAACCAAGCCCCTGTGGAGCCATGCAAGCAGGCACTGCCTCCACCACAGCAAATCCGGCAGCAGCACAGACCCAGAGCCAGGGACCAGCTCATCAACTCCAGCCCGTGATAGGGTTATGCACTTCATCAACACCACTGAGCTCCTCCTCCTCTAATTAAATCAGGCTTTGCTTATGCAGGTTCTCTTATCTTCTCACTGCCTAATAGTAAAGAGTTGGCTGTGATGGGAAAAATCAGCAGAAAACTCCTCAAGCCTTTCCCAGGTCACCTTTGCCACATTTTGTCCTTCACAGCATCACTCCCACACCTTGTGCACTCACAGCCCCACACAAGCGCAGGGTGGGTAAGCTCAGGTAGGCATGGCAGCACTGCAGGAACCACAGCGAGACAAGGCTGGAAAGTGGAACTCACTTGGGATGTTGTCATGGAGGATGGGGCTCAGACACCTTCGTGGAGCCAGAGGGTGGTCCCAGTCCAGGCTGAGTGGAGATGCCAAACATAGGATCTCCCAGCCTGGGAGCTGCAGGTCACAGGGACCCCACTGAGCCTCAGCATGCAGGGCTTTGCCATGAGGAGCAGCACATCACATCGAAGTAGCCCTGCCACATCCCACAGCACAGGCTTTAGAAGTGATGCAGCAATGCTTAAGCCTCAGAACCTCCATCCCTGGCAGCAGACGCAGCTTTGGCCACCACCTCAGGTCAGATGTGACACCCAAGGAGGGCGAAGGCAGGAGGATGCCCATCTGCAGGGAGGGTAAGCATGAGAATAACCCTGCTGGGGCCATGCGACCCACCCTGCCTTGGGTACCAGCCACCAGCACCACTGCCAGGAGGGCGAGGGCAGGGCGAGCAGGGAGCCCTGGGCTCCAGCACCGCCTCGCACCCACACTACAGGCAGCCAGGAGCCAGCTGTGGTGAGGGCCATGCTCCGGCTTCTCCACCACGGTGCCCCCGTCCAGTGGCCCCGGGGAGGCTGCAGAGGAGCAGATGGGGAGTGGGAGGGAGCGCTCAGCAGGCTCACGCCTCCGACGTGTGCTGCGCGCTGCCTCGCCAGACCGTGGGCTCTGGCTCACTGAGCGCGTGGAAGCAACGCTGCTCTGTGTCTCACTTTACAAAGCCCCAAACAATAACTGTCTGTCGCTGCACAGGAGCTTAGGAGAAACACAAGTTGCTATTGGCACGGCGCGCAGCAGCCTGCCTCTTACACAACACCGGCAGATGTGAAAATAGCCCCGTGCTGCTTTGTGCGCTCTTCTGACCTCCTGTTTGCTTCTAGATCAGATTCCAAAGCTGGATCTTAACCTACAAGAGCCATAAAAGCAAAGGATTTGGCCCTGTCAGGGACCTCCTCATAATCTAAGACAGATGCACTTCATGTAGAAGAAAACGTTGAAGTTTATCAGGGCAGAGAAGAGGCTGAGGCAGCATCAACCTCCACTCTACAGTGTGGCTGGGGCAGCCCATGTCAGCATCACCCCATAGCCCAGCTCATGATGCGCTGGAGGTAGCCCTCGGCAGAAGAGCTGGAAGCTCCTGCCAACCATGGCAGCACCCCAACCCGTGCATCCTACTGCTCAGCCTACACCAAAGCTGCCTCCAGCCCCAGCAAAGAGGGACCTCTGAGCTCCTGAGGTCCCATGCCCCTGACCCCAATGTCCTAAGGGCCATGGGGGCTGCCAGAGATGGCACAGGGCTGGAAATCCACAAAAGGTGCTTGCCCATGGGGTTTCTTGCCCATGTGAAGACTGACTCCAAAGCCAAACCTGAAACCGCTCTGGGACACCAAGAGGGAAAAAGCAAGAGGGCAGATTCCTTCCAGAAGTGTGAAAAGGCAGCGGGAGAATTAAACTGAAGGATGTTCAAGATCAGCGATAGAGGAGAGATTACTAGCCAGCAAAAAGCATTGCTAAGAACAACCTGTGCAAACAATCCCTCTAGTGTCCCCAAAGATATCCAGCGCCCCTGCTGCCTTCGGGACTGCAGCAGCCCCAGGCAGCAGCAGAACTTCCCAAGATACAAGAGAAGAAAACGATTTGGGGACACAGGGGAAGGGACCAGAGAAGGAGCTGTCCTCCTCAGGGCTGCTCTCATGGCCATGCCAGCACGCAGCTGCCAGTGCTCCAGCAGCGCTCCCCTCCGACCTGCCACACGCTGTTCCTGCTGGTATCCCTCAGTGGAAATCTCACCCCATGGCAAGTCCCTGGAGGAGATCACCTCATCCACAGCCTTCTCTACAGGTGATGCTGCACCCAACTGGGTCACCTGCAGAGGGGGGCTCAGGGTCTACAAGAAAGCTTCTAGCCAGCAGCAGAGCCTCTGCACCACCTAACTGCAGGCAGCTCCACATCAACGCAGCGCAGCCTTCAACCATGAGTAACTCACAGAAGTTACCCAAAACGCCCAAGCTATGGTATTTTGCCCCAGAATATCTCCAGCCCAGTGCAGGCTGGAGGGGTTTCTACCTTTGCATGCAGAGCCACAGGGTAACAGTCAGCTGCAGAGGAGTGCAATTCTAAGGCTACATGTGGGACGACCGCTGATCATGGCTTGCACGGGAGGGCGAAAGGCAGCCTTAGAATATAATCCATTACAGGCACTCTTAAATCTCCCCAATACAACACAGAGCCCTTTAAGCAAAACTAAACAACTTCCTTTAGCCTAAATAAATATTAAACCTAAGTGATGCATTAATTTACTCCAGTTCACCAAAGGCTAACTCCTACCCAAACTGATCATTATAAAAGAAATCCTATAATCCCTCGCTCCCATTCAGGCTCAAAACATGTAATCCTGTGAATAAATCCAGAAAGAAAGTGTAACAAAACGGGCAATAAAAACTTACAGCATTCACATCTTTTCATCTACCATTAATACTGTAAACACTCACTCGAAGGCCCTTGAGTATGACTAATCTTATGTTTTGGCTCCCAACTCTAATCGCCGACAGAGCTCGCCTCTCGGTGTGACACCCAGCGAGATCCACCACGGCCCAGGACACAATCCTGCAGTGAATCCCTGCCTCACACTCCGCCAAACGCTGCAAGATCAGCACGGAATGGAGCAAGTATGGTTCTAATAGCACCAGAGAGCAGAGCTTTTCTTCCCCCCCTTTCTTATTATTTTATTGCTTTGGAAGCCTGCAAGCTCCAACTGTATAAATGCCAATAACTTTGTTTTAAGGCTGCTGAAGTAAGAGATCAGATTTTAGCAAGTGCTTTCCAGGCAGCCAGCCAAACTTTTTCTGATTCACTAAAAGCACCAAAGGGAGGGGGAGAGGGAGGGGGCTGGAGGCTGATTAACTTCAGTTACCGCACAAGCGCACAAAAATGTCTCCCTGCTGCAAAGGTGCCGTCGCTGCGAGCCCGGCGCAGCCTGGGATTCCTTGGGCTTGGAAAAAACCCACAGAAAACCCCAAAACACCCAACTGAAAACGCACCGGAGAAACAGAGCAAACACCTTCCAACCGCAGGGTAATTTACAGCTGTGGATCCTCTCCTCGTGAGGAGGCTCTGCTGGTGCTAGGTTCCAGCTACAGTTTTCAGAGGGGATGAAAAAAAGGCTGTGACCAGGGATTTATTCTTTTTAAGGGGTGGAAGAGCTGGGGATGGGGCTGGTTTGGGATTTACCCTGGCCAGAGCAACGGGAGCCCCCTTGGAGGCTGCGGCTGCACTTGCCCAGGCTGTGCTGCTGATGCTCACCCAGCACCATCCCTCACTTCTGTTGGGTTTCTGCAGGGACGAGCAGGTGCAATCGCAGCCAAAGCACAGCATGGGGCTGAGGGGTGCATGAGAGGTCCCCAGCCCCATGGGATGGATGATGGGCAGGAGCCCCTGGAGCAGCAGCACCTGCTCTGCCCGGCCCTGCAGGTGGGTCTGCTCCAGGAGACCCGGCTAAAACCCGCATCGCAGGAGGTGTCAGGAGACAGCGTCCACCCTGCACCACCAGACACCGTCCCCGTCCGGCAGGCGCCGGGGCTGCAGAGCCTCACCGCTCAGGGTGTTCCTCCAACGGCTTCATTCCTGCCGAGGCAGGATCAAAGGCAGGAGCTGACTTGGACGGCTTTCTACTGAATAATAGGGAGGGAAGCATGCAGCCTGCTTCTCCTGGCTTAGGAAACTCGTGTTTTTCAAAGTATCAGTTTTTGGGAGTAAGTTCCCTAGGAAAGGGGGGAAAAAATGAGAAAAAGAAAGCAAAGGGGAAAAAAAGAGGGCAAGCAGGAGAGCGCCTGCTCTTCCAAGGCAAGTGCATCAATCAACATTGTGCAAGGAGGAGAGTCCAGCACTCCCTCTCACATCATTAGCCAGGCTAATGCACTCCAGAGGATCCCACTACCGGTCGCACCCGGCTGCGCCCCAGCCCGCGGCCCGCAGCGGTGCCTCGGCACAAGCGGGCACCCAGCGGCAGCAAGGCGAGACGGGCAGCCCCGCTCGACGCTCCAGCATCTGCCGCGGGGATCGGTTTAATACGGCTATAAAAACTAGAGAGGGAAACAAGTGAAAGCCCTCGCAAAAACCTGGCTGGCACTCCGAGGTCAGCACGCCGCCTTTGTTTCTATTTTATAACCAAAAGCGAAAGAGGACAGAAAGGACACGTACCTGTACCTGAAAGCACAGCAGCAGGAAATGTAAACATCTGGAGAGGAGAAAAAACAAAAAAGGCAACAAAAGATCAAATGATGCGGTAAAATGGTTAAAGTTGATTTTTTTTTTAAGCTTTGTTTTTGTTTGTAATGTTTTAAAGGGTGCAAAGCGATGCTCTGCTTATAGAAAGGCTCGAGTCCCCATTACCACCTGATTGCAAGGAAAACGCAACCGGAGCCTCCAAAATGAGAGTTTAATAAAAAATAAAAGCAATAAAAAATAATAAAAAAATATTTCAAAATATGCCATAATCCTTACAGGCAAGTGCAGGCGGAGAGCAGTGAATACATCGCTGGGCGAGGAGAGGGGGAGGTCAGTGGCTTCACGCTAGCGGAGTGCAGTCCCCCACCGCCGCCCTGACATGGGAGCGATCCGGCCGGCGAGCTCCGCTCCGCGCTGCTCCTCGCCGTTCCGCGCAGCTCCGCGCCGCCGAGAAGTTGTGGTACCGCCCGCTTTGCCTCCTCCGAGTGACTCGCTTAGGCATCAGCTCTCCTCTCCCCCTGTCTCTCCTCCTCCTCCTCCTCTCCCTCTCTCTCTCTCTCCGCCTTTGGGGGGGATGAAGGTGCTTATTGTCAGTAACTTCCGACCATCAGCAAGTGCCCCCCCCCACCCCGCCGCCCCCCCGGCCCGGCCCTGCGAGGCGGATGAAGCGTCTCGGCGGCCCCGCGCCCGCTCCGCGCCCCGCCGCTCGGCGCGGGCGGCATGGCGATGCGCGGGGCGCGGAGCGGGAGGCGGGACGGGGCGGGCACCGGCTGCGCGGAGGGATGGGCGGGAGCGCAGGGCGAGCGGCAGCGGGGCTTGTGAAACAGCGAGAGAATAAAGAATAAGGAGGGGGGCGCGGGGGGGGGGAGCCGCGACGGAGCGGGCAGTGCCGCTGCCGCCCGAAGCGCCAAGGGAAACACACACACACACACACATAGCCCCCACACAACACACCGGCCGCTGCCGCTCTGCCCCTGCCCGCTCCGTGACAGCCACCGCTCCGCTGCTCTCTTACCTCCGAGGGGCAGGAGCACGTCCAGTCCCCAGCGCGTTCCAGGCGGGCGGCAGCGGGGTCCCGCCAGCCCCGGCTGTGCCCCCCTCCGGGTCGGGGCACCCTCGGGCAGGGCCGGGCCGCGCCCGTCCGGGTCCATGAGCGCTCCCACGGCGGGATATTGACACCGGGGTCAGGTACCCGCTGCTTCCCCGGCGGCGCTGCCCGCTCCGGCACTGCTCGCCTGCCCTCCAGCGGCCGCGCCGCCGCCGCGCACCCCGGCTGGGCTGGGCTGGGCTGGGCTCTGCGGGGCCGGGCGCTCGGGCAGCCCGCGGAAGCCGAGCGGGTTCCCCTGCCCAGGTCTCGGTTCATTTTTCAGGCAAAGGCAAACATTCACACGCTGGGAGCGCGCCGTAACTCCTGCCCCGTCTCCGAGAGCTGGTCTAGAGCAGACAAAACGCCAGGCACTGCTAACCTCCACGCATAGCCTAACTCCGAAGAGAGCCTAACGTCAGTTAACACCTTATTAAGTGAGAGCATAACCACAGCTCATAACTCCAAGCTTTCCCAATTCTCCACTCGAATAATGGAGGGTTTGGGCCCTGCTGCTCCACACTCGCTCCCAGGCACAAATCGCACAGCAATCTTTAATCCCTCGAGTTCAGCACTGGGGACCCTTCAGGCACCAAATCACAGTGGGTTTCAGGCCTCAGTTTCAGGCCCAAGAGGCACAGAAACATTAAGAAGTTTGAAAAACAAGTGACCAAGGCAAGTTCTCATAAAACCTCAATATACTGATATACACAAAAAAGATACTGATATACAACAGAAGAGATTCAGAGCAGCCCTGCAGAGAAGGACTTGGGGGTGTTGGTCGATGAGAAAATGAACATGAGCTGGCTTCAGTGTGCGCTTGCAGCCCAGAAACCAACCGTATCCTGGGCTGCATCAAAAGGAGCGTGACCAGCAGGTCGAAGGAGGTGATCCTGCCCCTCTACTCTGCTCTTGTGAGATCTCACCTGGAGCATTGTGTGCAGTTCTGGTGTCCTCAACATAAAAAGGACATGGAACTGCTGGAACAAGTCCAGAGGAGGCCACGAGGATGATCAGGGACTGGAGCACCTCCTGTATGAAGACACACTGAAAAAGTTGGGGCTGTTCAGCCTGGAGAAGAGAAGGCTGTGTGGAGACCTCATAGCGGCCTTCCAGTATCTGAAGGGGGCCTACAGGGATGCTGGGGAGGGACTCTTCGCCAGGGACTGTAGTGACAGGACAAGGGGTAATGGGTTCAAACTTAAACAGGGGAAGTTTAGATTGGATATAAGGAAGAAGTTCTTTACTGTGAGGGTGGTGAGGCACTGGAATGGGTTGCCCAGGGAGGTTGTGAATGCTCCATCCCTGGCAGTGTTCAAGACCAGGTTGGATGAGGCCTTGGGTGAGATGGTTTAGTGTGAGGTGTCCCTGCCCATGGGGGGGAGGTTGGAACTTGATGATCTTAAGGTCCTTTCCAACCCTAACTATTCTATGATTCTATTCAGGGCTTATGGATCCACAAATCAAAAGCCTTGGTAAAGATTGGATTTGATGACCTTAAAGGTCTTTTCCAACCTAGCTGATTCTATGATTCTGTGAAAAAAGAACTCTAAGCCGCTGTCCATTGCCGAGGCCACTGCCACCACTGGCACCACATATCTCTGTTGTCACAGCGGTCCCATGGCACCATGCCACAGCTGAAAGTGGCTTCCAAGGATGGCCAAGAGCCACCACCCTGAGCCCTACAAGTTGAGCTCACCCAGACACCTGCATAAAATCAGTACCAACAGAATTTGGGAACTTGGAGGATGAGAGCGTTTAGCTTAGATGTGAAAACATTCAATATATTCCTACTCACCACCAATGGCTCTCTTCCTCAAAGCAGGGTGGGTGGGGAGGAACCCAGCCTACGCCAGGAACAGCTCATGCTGTTGCACGCTGCTCAGTCACCCACAGGAAAAGCACCAGTAGTCCAATATAGCCCAGTGTCTGCCAGCTGAGGAGACCCTGCACAATGCACACAGAACCTCTGCAAAGCCAGAATGCAATAATTCCTCCCTAACACTCACGGCTGCTCGAAGCCATCTGCAAGCATGGGCTTTGATTGCTCCTTCTCACCTCTCCTGACCACTGAAACTCAGAGCAATCAGACAATTCACCTGAGCTGCCTCAGGAACGTCCCCAGCGCAGGAGCAGGGCCCTGATGGGTTTTTCTGGCCTTCCTCAGGTACTTTTTTTTCTCACTTTACCTCTTCTTTAGATGCAGATGCAGGGCTGTAAAATCAAACTGCCGTAAGCCATGTGCTGACTGGGGTGGCAGAGGTTGGCTGTGGGAAGGTCGCGTGAGCTCCTGAAAAGGCCATCAAGCCTCCCACAGGCAGGCAGTGCATGCTGGACCACACCAGACCAAGAATGTCCTCAGCTGAAAGCAGATTTCTCCTGCTCCACCAACAGCCCATGTCACCTTTCTCTCTTCCCATCCCCATCCCTGCTCCTTGAGGAAGCAGGATCCATGCAAAAAGCGGGTACCTGGAACTGGCTGCGATGATGCCAACCTGCTGCTCTGTTACCGTTAGGTTCATCCTGCCAAGCCACGAAGCTCAGCCTCTCATACCCGTGACACTGCCAGTTTAAAGCATCAATTTTTCCCTTTCCACAAGAACAGACAACACTCAGCAACCATAATACGGAAGTCAGGATGTTCTGGTGAAGTTTTCAAATCCAAAGCATCCCACAGACAACGTGCCCCTCTCTTCCACATGAGCAGAGCCTTCAACACCCTGAGCTCACCAGCTGCCTTATGTTACCAACATTTGGTCTGGCCCCAGGGACCTTAGAGTCTTTAAGTATGACCATGTTTTATACCCATGCACCCCAGTGATGCAAACAATATCTGAAGGGGAGTTCATGCTTTTCTACTGTGGTCCTTCATAGGACCAGTCTGATGTAGGAATCATAGAATCATCACAGAACTCTAGAACAGTTTGGGCTGGAAGGGACCTCAAAGCTGATCTAGTTTCAACCCCTGCCACGGGCAGGGACACCTTCCACTAGAGCAGCTTGCTCCAAGCCCCAGGGTCCAACCTGGCCTTGAACACTGCTTCTCTGGGCACCCTGTGCCAGCGCCTCAGCACCCTCACAGGGAAGAGCTTCTGCCTAAGAGCTCATCTCAGTCTCCCCTTGGCAGGTTAAAGCCATTCCCCTTGGCCTGTCATTACTTGCTCTTATAAAAAGTGCCCTTGGCGATGCACTGGGGAAGGGATGGAAACCCTTCAGTGTCCACAAGCACCTGTCCCACCACTTCAGGTCTTTGCATCATGGAAGCCCCGTCACCCACCTCCAAGTAAAGGCTCCTAGATAGCAACTGATGGCATCGTCCAACACCTGAGCTGGCCCAGGACTGCAGGGCCTGGGAGAGAAGTGATTTGTGAAGCTGCTGCGAACACTTGTCACTTCAGTTCCCCAACAGCAGGGACAATTACAGCAGCTACAGCAGAGCTGTGAGCTACACATGGACAAACTCCCCACAGGCAATGCTGGCCCTGGCTGTGCCATGTGCCGGCAGCACGTCCTCCAGCTCCAAAGGGACTGGATCTGCACTCAGGAAAAGGCACCCAGATGGGGAGAATTGCCAGGGAGGGGCTTAAAGAGGGCAGGTTGGGTTTTCCTTTTCCCAGTGCTGAAAACATTTCACTTGCAATCGCACACGAGCTCTTTTGTTAAACTAGATCCACGGTTTGTGCCTCGATAGCCTGACAAAGCCCTTTGATCTTTAAAGACACAAGAGTTACCCAGAGAATAATACCAATATTAAGTGACTCTCAGGCTATCAGCCTTGAAGAACACAGCTGAGCACAGAAAATAGGTGCAGCAGCTCACACATGCCTGTGGGAAAATAGAAATAACACTTAGCTGCATAGTGTTATGAATATATGTGTATACATAGCATTAACAACTGTTCATCCATGCCTATTGCTTCTCTGCTGAACTCTGCTATTTGACCAGATTCCCAGTGATCTTATGACCACTACTAGAGGGGCCCTGCCTCCAGCCAGATGGAGGAGAGGGACAATCGGGTTTACTGGACTGTGTGGATCAGATGGCCTGGCCCATCAGTCCCACAGGAGTATAAGGCTATAGTGGATACTGATACACAGTATGCCCTGATAACACACTCATGTTTTTAGTTATTGCTAAGTAATGCTTACTCTGATCAAGGACTTTCCCATCTCATGCTCTGCCAGTGAGGAGGGGCACAAGAAGCCAGGAGGAAGCAGAGCCACGACACCTGACCCAAACTAGCCAAAGGGGTATTCCATACCACAGCACATCATGGCCAGTATAGAAACTGGGCAGCAGGTACATAAACCCAGCCAGCACAGCTAACTCCCACTGGAAAATGAGCACCTGATTTTAAGCTGTTTATTTTTCACACAGCATGCTCTGGGCACAAAGACCAGGACAGCGTGGGCCCCAAAGCCTGATGTTCATGACATTTTATTAAGCAATACACAGGACAGGTAATGTCTCTGCAGTGCTGGGTGCTCCTTGGGCTGTCCCAAGGTTACTACTACCATTCACTCACCCATGCAAATGCCTGAATTAAGATCATGTTATTAAGACAGTGCCTTGGTGGCTTGTTGGATTAGTGACTGCTCTTCAGCAGCTCAAATCAAAGCCTGAGCAGCACCAGATTTCACTTGTGGGGCTGTGAAGGTGGCCGTGGTGC